CACAATCACACTTGTGCTCTCTTGCAACTAAAATGGCACTGAACAATATCTGTATTTTCAACACAATATTTAAAAGTGATTTCAAGAAGGTAAAACTGATATATTTTTACATACATCAGCTCATTCGCTATGGAGAAATCAAAAATACACCTGAAAATCTTTTAATCTAGCCCTTTATCAGATCTGGTGGTTTCTGAGTCTCTCTAAAGCAGGGGTTCCCAAGCAGGGGTGCGAGACGATATTCCAGGGGGTGTGAAAACTTGGGTTTTCAAAATTATAGTGTATATGCATAATTCGTTGCCGTTATTTCGAACTTTTGTAAGGGGTGTGAGATTATATCAGAAGCATAAATCAACCAATGACTCCCCATGCTGGCATCTACCAGGCATGCTCTAAACAGCTCAGAGATGGAAAGTAAATCTAAAGGATTTGTTTTAAATCTACATGCAAATGTACAGTACAGTAAATCTAAAAGATTTACTAGCAAGGATGGCCCAGGAAACTTACCTCTGTGGTGCAGGATGCCGTTTCTATTAAATTCGCGGGTTAAAGGCATTGCAAGGAAACGAGTAGTGTGAACAGCAAGTCTTCTTTATTCATTCACCAACAAACAGCAACAGAAAAAAATGGCGCACAGGCCTTTTATAGTGTCCTTGCAAAGGCCAACGTCAGCCAATGAATGCAAGGCTGTCTTCGCGCCTTGCGGGTTAAAGGCATTGCAAGGAAACGAGTAGTGTGAACAGCAAGTCTTCTTTATTCATTCATCCAACAAGCAGCAACAGAAAAAAATGGCGTGCAGACCTTTTACAGTGTCCTTGCAAAGGTCAGCATCAGCCAATGAATGCAAGGCACTGTCCCTTGCGCCTTGCGCATGCGGAGGTGCCAGAGTCAGGAATGGCTGGAGACAGCCAGTCTGGTGGCCGTGTGAAGAACCGCTAGGCAGCCTTATGGTTTGCCAGAAGTGTTGCTGGGGACCCTTTGCAACACTTCGTTGACAGTGGCCTGAGCCTGCTGACCCATGATTCAGCACCGGATCGCCCAGTGACACCTGTGAAGCCACCCAGTCTGGGTGCACGATCTGGGTGCAACCTGTCCAGTTTCGTGATGAAAGGGGTCCTTCTGCTGAGACCTCCAGCGATTCTGTACTGGCACCTATTCTGGACGCCGAACTTTCCCCAGGGCTTCAGGACTTCCTTCGTGAGTCCTATCTTCTTCATCTTGCTTGCAGCGATCCCACCTTTGTCGCCAGTTAAATTCACGGGTTAAAGGCATTGCAAGGAAACGAGTAGTGTGAACAGCAAGTAAATGGCGTGCAGACCTTTTACAGGTCCTTGCAAAGGTTCAGCCAATTGCAAGGTGCTTTTGCGCCTTAATGGAGACAGCCAGTCTGGTCCCAGGCAGCCTTGTGGTTTGCCTGGGACCCTTTGCAACATTTCTGAGCCTGCTGAGTGATTCAGCAGGCCCAGGACATAACAGTTTCCATCTACAAGAAGCACCTAGGGAAAAAAACCCCACACTTCAGTAATAGGTAACAAGTGGGAAGCTTTTTCAGTAATGGAGATGTCAGTGTTGCCTGTGTTGGTCTGCATGCATAAAGTATCAAAAAAGAAGGCAAATAACATTGGTGGTCCTCTTCCATAAAGTGAAACCTATGAATCTGAGTCACTGGAAAACATGAGTCTGCTGTGCCATTGTTTGTCTTCCCTCGAGATCAAATATATATATAAAAAAGTGACATGTTCAAACTCATATTCATTTTTTAGTTGAGATCCCACCCTAGCTGATGTTATCCAGGTTTATGGGTTTATAATTACTATCATCTCAAGCCAATGCAAGTTATGGCTATGCAGACTGGGAATTATGGGAATTGTCTTCCCATCAATTTGCAGGGTGCTTTAGTTCCAAGAATCTCTTTTTGCATCTGTTTTATGAGAGAAAAGTTGCTGGAGGACTTTATTGTGCTATCTTGGTGAGCTAGGGCCTTCCACAGTTTCCTAAAATGAAGCCTCTCTAGTTTCATCCTGGCAGAAAGGGTGCTTTCGATTCTGACTGGATGACTCAACACTTTTAAATTAGGTTGGAGCAGCTGTCCTTTTGGGTCTGTAGCATAGCTTAAAGATGTTGACTTTGGGCCTAGCTCTCTTAGAGAAATCATAGAGATGTTCTTAGGACTTCTAGCCTTCAGGTGAGAGAAAAACAGTCACAGATACCTAAATGGAAGATCCATATTCACAGGGACTAAGCCACGAAATGCTAGAGGCCAGAAGTCTTGAAGACCTAGTTATTAGTTCTTTGAAGGAGGGGAATTCTGGATGAAATATATCCTTGGCATAAGGTAGCAGCACTCCTTTCATTCACAAAAACTATCCCACCTGGGGCCTGAGGCCAGGCTTCTGTGTCTCTAGCCGCTGTACAGCCTCCAGTAAAAAAGGGACTTCTCGGAAAGCCAGGAATCCTGCCACATAGGGAGCATTCACAGCCACCACGTAGCAGTCTTCGTAGAGGACCTGTGATGACAGAAGAAAAAGTGACATTTTGCCAAGGAGCAAGACTAGTATTTTTAAGGTCATCTAGGTTAGAGATGGGCACCACAACCCATGAACTGAATGGAGCTCCCAGTTCCCATTTGACATGCCCTAAACAAATCAAGAAAATGGTTCAAATTTAACCTTCTCATGTGTTTGCAAATGTAGGGTGAAAACAGATACAGCACTGTAAGCCTCTGCAAGGCAAAGTATCTACTGTTACTGCAATATCACATTGCTCCCTGCAGTTCTAGAGACTTCTTTAAAATGTAAATAAAAGTAAATAAACATTTAGCATTTACTTAAAATATTAAGCAAGAAAGAAATAAAAACCCAGGTAAGAAAAAGGATTTCCTGCTTCTGATCTCAACTAAAATTTAAAGAAGTGTCACATCCCTTTCCTTTGTCTACCAAACTGTTCTTTGAGATTATCTCTTTCAAGTCTCAGAGCTGGGAAAAAAAAAAAAAAGCTTATCTCCTGCCAATTTTTTCTCTCTCAACAACTCCAGAATTTTGTATTTGGCAGCCAAGGCCAGGAATATTTTGATTGCTCAATGTAGTGAGCAATTTAGTGAGCAATGTAGAGAGCACAATCACACTTGTGCTCTCTTGCAACTAAAATGGCACTGAACAATATCTGTATTTTCAACACAATATTTAAAAGTGATTTCAAGAAGGTAAAACTGATATATTTTTACATACATCAGCTCATTCGCTATGGAGAAATCAAAAATACACCTGAAAATCTTTTAATCTAGCCCTTTATCAGATCTGGTGGTTTCTGAGTCTCTCTAAAGCAGGGGTTCCCAAGCAGGGGTGCGAGACGATATTCCAGGGGGTGTGAAAACTTGGGTTTTCAAAATTATAGTGTATATGCATAATTCGTTGCCGTTATTTCGAACTTTTGTAAGGGGTGTGAGATTATATCAGAAGCATAAATCAACCAATGACTCCCCATGCTGGCATCTACCAGGCATGCTCTAAACAGCTCAGAGATGGAAAGTAAATCTAAAGGATTTGTTTTAAATCTACATGCAAATGTACAGTACAGTAAATCTAAAAGATTTACTAGCAAGGATGGCCCAGGAAACTTACCTCTGTGGTGCAGGATGCCGTTTCTATTAAATTCGCGGGTTAAAGGCATTGCAAGGAAACGAGTAGTGTGAACAGCAAGTCTTCTTTATTCATTCACCAACAAACAGCAACAGAAAAAAATGGCGCACAGGCCTTTTATAGTGTCCTTGCAAAGGCCAACGTCAGCCAATGAATGCAAGGCTGTCTTCGCGCCTTGCGCATGCGTGTAAGGCTGGAGACAGCCAGTCTGGTCCTGGGCAGCCTTATGGTTTGCCCGGGACCCTTTGCAACATTTCTGAGCCTGCTGAATGATTCAGCAGGCCCAGGACATAACACCCCTCCCCCCTAGATAAAACAATAAGTACCCTTATCATTATAGCAGCACACATACATGTGTTCAATTGGCAGGTTGTTGTTATTGTTATACATCATGCCTGCACACAAGCAGACCACTCATCCATTGTTTAATACGTACAAGAATATAATCACAATGCTTAATACCCCTTTGTTTGACTGTTTGCTCTGCAATTTGAAGAACTAATAAGATTCCCTTGTGCTTGACAGAAACCTCACATAGTCTTTAAGATGTTTAGGTGGACCCTTGGCCCGCTGTGACCTTCTTATGGCCGGTGTGTGTGCCTGCCCTGCCAGCTCGCCTGCCAGGCTAGGCAAACCAGGACTTTGATGCCCCAAAGTCCCAGGTGACCCACCCAGCTGCTGACTAGCTGGATTCTCTAAATCCAAGCCAGGGTTCCTTGCGGGGGTGGAATACCCCAAGTCCAGTGGTGGGGTGGAATTTCCCAAGTCCACAATAGACTCCTCTTGGGAGCACTGTCCCTTGAGCCCAAGACCAGCAGCTGGATTGTCCTGAGTGGCTGATCTGCCCCAATAACCTATGGCCCCCCGTGTATGTGCCGGAGGTGCCAGAGTCAGGAGCCGCCTCCATGGCAAACCCCCTTTCTGGAGACTTTCTGTCTGGAGCAATAGCTGAAGTGTGCGAATGCCCCCTTTCTGCCACTGGAACATGTGTGGCAGCGTGTGAAGAACCGCTAGAGCAGGGAGACTGTGGTCCAGAATTGTGATTATGGTCCTCCTCCCCCAAGAGCAGAGCCAGGAGCAGAAGTGTTGCTGGGAAGCCTCCAGCGCAGTTGGTCTATGTGATGTCGGATGACGCGCCCATCGTCCAAGGCCACTTCGTATGACAGTGGCCTAGAGACCTTGCATACCACTGCTGTGACCCATAGATGTCCTGGTCCATAGTTCCTTGCCCAGACCGGATCGCCCACCTGTAGTCTCTTAGGTGCCCGTGGCTGTGACACCTGTGAAGCCACCCAGTCTGGGTGCACCCGATCTGGGTGCAACCTGTCCAGTTTCGTGATGAAAGGGGTCCTTCTGCTGAGCTCACCTCCAGCGATTCTGTACTGGCAGGCAGAGTCGCGATTCTGGACGCCGAACTTTCCCCAGGGCTTCAGGACTTCCTTCGTGAGTCCTATCTTCTTCTGTTGGTAATCTTGCTTGCAGCGATCCCACCTTTGTCGCCAGTTAAATTCACGGGTTAAAGGCATTGCAAGGAAACGAGTAGTGTGAACAGCAAGTCTTCTTTATTCATTCACCAACAAGCAGCAACAGAAAAAATGGCGTGCAGACCTTTTACAGTGTCCTTGCAAAGGTCAGCATCAGCCAATGAATGCAAGGTGCTTTTGCGCCTTGCGCATGCACGCAAGGCTGGAGACAGCCAGTCTGGTCCCAGGCAGCCTTGTGGTTTGCCTGGGACCCTTTGCAACATTTCTGAGCCTGCTGAGTGATTCAGCAGGCCCAGGACATAACAGTTTCCATCTACAAGAAGCACCTAGGGAAAAAAACCCCACAAAGGGGTACTTCAGTAATAGGTAACACAGTGGGAAGCTTTTTCAGTAATGGAGATGTCAGTGTTGCCTGTGTTGGTCTGCATGCACAAAGTATCAAAAAAGAAGGCAAATAACATTGGTGGTCCTCTTCCATAAAGTGAAACCTAGTCACAGAATCTGAGTCACTGGAAAACATTTTTGAGTCTGCTGTGCAAGTGCATTGTTTGTCTTCCCTCGAGATCAAATATATATATAAAAAAGTGACATGTTCAAACTCATATTCATTTTTTAGTTGAGATCCCACCCTAGCTGATGTTATCCAGGTTTATGGGTTTATAATTACTATCATTCTCAAGCCAATGCAAGTTATGGCTATGCAGACTGGGAATTATGGGAATTGTCTTCCCATCAATTTGCAGGGTGCTTTAGTTCCAAGAATCTCTTTTTGCATCTGTTTTATGAGAGAAAAGTTGCTGGAGGACTTTATTGTGCTATCTTGGTGAGCTAGGGCCTTCCACAGTTTCCTAAAATGAAGCCTCTCTAGTTTCATCCTGGCAGAAAGGGTGCTTTCGATTCTGACTGGATGACTCAACACTTTTAAATTAGGTTGGAGCAGCTGTCCTTTTGGGTCTGTAGCATAGCTTAAAGATGTTGACTTTGGGCCTAGCCCTCTTAGAGAAATCATAGAGATGTTCTTAGGACTTCTAGCCTTCAGGTGAGAGAAAAACAGTCACAGATACCTAAATGGAAGATCCATATTCACAGGGACTAAGCCACGAAATGCTAGAGGCCAGAAGTCTTGAAGACCTAGTTATTAGTTCTTTGAAGGAGGGGAATTCTGGATGAAATATATCCTTGGCATAAGGTAGCAGCACTCCTTTCATTCACAAAAACTATCCCACCTGGGGCCTGAGGCCAGGCTTCTGTGTCTCTAGCCGCTGTACAGCCTCCAGTAAAAAAGGGACTTCTCGGAAAGCCAGGAATCCTGCCACATAGGGAGCATTCACAGCCACCACGTAGCAGTCTTCGTAGAGGACCTGTGATGACAGAAGAAAAAGTGACATTTTGCCAAGGAGCAAGACTAGTATTTTTAAGGTCATCTAGGTTAGAGATGGGCACCACAACCCATGAACTGAATGGAGCTCCCAGTTCCCATTTGACATGCCCTAAACAAATCAAGAAAATGGTTCAAATTTAACCTTCTCATGTGTTTGCAAATGTAGGGTGAAAACAGATACAGCACTGTAAGCCTCTGCAAGGCAAAGTATCTACTGTTACTGCAATATCACATTGCTCCCTGCAGTTCTAGAGACTTCTTTAAAATGTAAATAAAAGTAAATAAACATTTAGCATTTACTTAAAATATTAAGCAAGAAAGAAATAAAAACCCAGGTAAGAAAAAGGATTTCCTGCTTCTGATCTCAACTAAAACTTAAAGAAGTGTCACATCCCTTTCCTTTGTCTACCAAACTGTTCTTTAAGATTATCTCTTTCAAGTTTCAGAGCTGGAAAAAAAAAGCTTATCTCCTGCCAATTTTTTTTCTCTCAACAACTCCAGAATTTTGTATTTGTCAGCCAAGGCCAGGAATATTTTGATTGCTCAATGTAGTGGGCAGACAACTACATTTGTGCTCTCTTGCAACTAAAATAGCACTGAGCAATATCTATATTTTCAACACAATGTTTAAAAATGCTTTCAAGAAGGTAAAACTGATATATTTTTACATACATCAGCTCATTCTCTATGGAGAAATCAAAAATACACCTGAAAATCTTTTAAGGAATGGCTGAATCAGTAGAAAACATACATATTCATGCATTCAGCCCTTTATCAGATCTGGTGGTTTCTGAGTCTCTCTAAAGCAGGGGTTTCCAATTAGGGGTGTGAGATGATATTCCAGGGGGTGTGAAAACTGGGGTTTTCAAAATTATAATATATATGAATAATTCATTGCTGTTATTTCAAACTTTTGTAATGGGTGTGAGATTATATCAGAAGCGTTCTAGGGGTGCAGGGTATAGAAAAGGTTGGGAGACGCTTCCCCAAAATAACCATTGTCTGAAGAGGTGCTCTTGTAGGCAACTATGACGCACATGGGAATTTGATAAGAAGTAAAATTATAACTCCGTAACTTCACTCTGAGATAGCAAAATTGGCAAAGATTTAAAAAAACTTTGAAAATGCTATATACAGTGGTGGCGAACCTATAACATGGGTGCCAGAGGCGGCACTCGGAGCCCTCTCTGTGGGCACATGTGCCATTGCCCCAGCCTTGCCTCCCCTCGCGACCCTCTCCTCAGCAGCAGCCCCCCTGAAGGAGAATCGCCCCCAAGCATGGCCCACACGGAGCAGCGCAGCCATGGACATGGCAGCCAGGCAGCATAGACAAGACTCTTCCCTCACACCTCACCATGCAGTTAATGCTGCAGGGCGCGGGCAGGGGGTGTGGCTGCCATAGTGCTGCTGGGGTGCCTGGGTGATCTGTGGTGGGCCCTGGAGAAAGTGAGTGGTTCTATGGGCAGGCGGGGCAGGGGATGGGGGGCAGAGCAGGGGCGGGGCAGGGAGTGGAACGGGGTGGGGCCAGTTTTTAGGCACTCGGTCTCTAAAAGGTTCACCATCACTGCTATATACTCTTTTCAGCTAGAGAATGTTGATGGATTGATAGTCCTCAACATTTCCCAATTTGAGAATCAGAGGACTGGGAGATCACAGTTTGAAAAGTGACAAGTTAAACTGACAATAGCTGGACCATAGCTAAATTTGACAATAGTCCCAAAACTCACCACTGACTCTTGAATTGCTTCTAAGATTTTATTTTCAATCCTACTATGGAAACAAATGTCTCAGTAGTTGGAACCCACTCAGTAATTAAAGTTACTAAGGCAGGCAGTCAAACTTTTGGAAATTGGATTTTTAATCTTCTTAATATATTAATCCCAGATGTGCAAAAATTCCTTGTAACGCCTTTAGCCTTTTATCCTTGTTACCTCAAGTTCTGGGTAGCTGAGCACCACTAGTGAAGCACAGGCACGTGTGGCATCTTCTTTGAGATAAGACAAATCCATTCCTCCAACTCTTTCCAGTCCAATAAAGGAGGAATTGCTCTGCCATTCTTTTGTGTCCTGTTCAATCACATCTTCTTTCATCTGGATCTGTTGACTAAAGAATACAATAGGACTAGATAAAACCTGCCTGTTCCCAGTATCATTTAAGGCAAAAAGCACTATGGGTGATATAAAAAGTGGTAACAAATGAAAGAGAGAGAAATGCATGTAAACCGACAAATGATGCTTCCAAAATAGAATGTTGAACTATTTTGAATTTTTTGAAAAAGAATTTTTTTTCAAATAATCATTAATATTTATTGGTTTCAAAGAACTTAAGAAATGACCCTATTCTATGCCTCCACTATTAATCCATTGAAGAACATAAAAACAGCCACACAAATCTTCTAGCTTCCACTGTGGCTGACCAGATGTGGGGACTCCATAAGCAAGAAATTAACCCAGTATTCTGCTCAAGTTGTCTAGTAACTGTATGTGGAAGCATAGTGCCTCTTATACTGCGGCTAAATATCTTCAATATCCTGGTGGCAATAATCCCACTACTCAATTCATAAACAGGAATCCTGGGGGGTCTCCAGATATGGACAACTTGTGACCGTCCACCTACTTATTGAGACTAACAGGAACTGGAGAGCTCAAACAACTTGTTTTAAGTGTCCTACAGTATTTTCTTCATCTTCTCTAAATCTCCCACTATTTTTCATGGGATGATCTCACCTTCTAAAGCTGAGCTATAGAGAGAAAAACTTCTCCATCTTCATTAACGCTGTATCAGATTGCGTTGCTATCCTGTGATCCTTTGGTTCTCTACCCAAAATACTCTTTTCTATGCTGAAATGTTCTACTTGAACTGCATCTTTCTCCAAAGAGCTCTGCTCCAGCTTTTGATTTTTACTGACTTGTTCTGTGCCCTGGAGAACGTTGATGGATTTCATGGGCTTTTTTTCAGATGGTGGATTAAATGTCACTGTAGGCAGGGCTGTGTGGTGATCTGGACTCCAAAGGGAGAAACACAGGAAAAGATGTGCTCCTGTGCCAGCCAGGCTTCCCTTTTTTCCCCCTTCGAATCAAGATCACAGCTTGGCCCTACTAGAGAACCCGGGGGAAATCAGCTGACAATGTCTAGATCCGGAGCCCTGAATTCCGGGAAGGAGGCACCACATCGCCTCCTCTCTGCATGCTCCGGGCTGCTCGCGTTCTTGTATAGAAGCGAGTCCTCTTCACCTCAGGGCAGAGGGGAGTCCAGCCAGTTGCCCCTAACGGCCTCCCATCGCTTCCCTCCCTATTCCCAACCCGCCAGGTAGGTGGCAGCTTGCAGGCAGGCGCCCTCTATCCCTCTGCAGCCAGGAGGGACCCAGGAGGCGGAGCCAGTCTCAGTAGCTCAAAGAAATACAAATCCCAGGTTCCCCGGTAACAGGAAGATCTCCCGAGCCTTCTTCATCCCTGGTTCCCCCAGTTGGCTCCCAGCGCTGCAAAGTCTCTCCTTCTTCCTCCCTTGTTCCCGTCCTGTCCGTCATTGCGTCCGCGCCCTGGGTTTTCGTACTTCCTGGGGCTCCTCCTGCACGATTACGATGCCCGGCACTCTGTCCCTTCCTTGGGCTTCCTGTTTGCACCGAAGGGCGGAGGCATGAGTGACCGTGCTGGCTTGGAATCCAAAGCGGGTTGGATCTGCTCCGATGGAGCGTCCATAGCGGCAGCTATAACTCTCAGCTTTTTCGACCGAGAGTGTCCACAGCCATATACGTGCTTAGCACACGACTAGATGGCAACAGGGAGATGGTTTTAGATAACGTCTACCATTCGAGATTTAGTCCAGACGTGGCAGTTCTGGTGCGAAGTCACTAGTGTTCAACACGCTTGTGAATAAATCCAGAAATTACACCCATTCTCTAGCGATAGCTATGGGTAATTAGTTTGATGAGGAAACAAATTTCCTGTTTCCTAATTAGAAATGGAAAATCTTGTTGCTGTGCGGCTCCGAATGGGTAATCTTACAGAGTACAACTCCAGGAAAGTTAAGTAAAAAAAAAAATCCAATTAAGGAAATTTCATAAAGGGGGTAAAAGAACCGACTTTATTGGACATACTATAAACAGGAAAAATTACCATCGAACAGAAAAAAGATTCCCCTCTCATTAACTAAAATGAAAGGAGAAATTACCATTAGAACACACGAAGAGCAATGTCTTCCCAATTTTCCTTACAGGTGGCAGGTTGGGTGACTTTTCTTTTGCCCTAAATGATTAGAATGTGTGGTTGATACCCCAATTCTTAGAAGGTTCCTCTCACACAAAGAATCTCTGAACAAGTTAAATCTATGGTTCATGAATTACATTCACATAGCAATGACAAGATGTGAGGTAAAGCTCCCTGCTTCGAAAACATCTGTGGTAAAATTGTTAACGGTTTTAGCTTGGTGAATTGGTAAATGTCAATTAACTAAATGTTAAGCAGTAAAACCAAACTGTCATGTTCCCTAGCTCAAGAAAGGTAATAACGTTGTAAGGTGCTATAGAAGTAATAAGGGACATAGTCTGAACCCTTTTGTAACAAGGATTTTTTATTATAAGAAAAAAAAGGCTAGAAAGTAACTTTTATAAATTGCAATTTTTGAATAGTGAAAAAATAAGTGGAGGCATAATGTTCTCTGCCAGCGCAATGTATTAAGACATTATTCCTGTACAATGGAAGGAAGAACACAAACTCCATTTCTTTAAATCCTAGAGGACTGGAATGACAATGCCTAATGCATAACTTGCTACAAAAATATCAATTAACTATTAAAAAAGAATGGAACTATTTAAATACATATTTATCTTTGGCAGCCAAAAACTTCCAGTCTTTTATTTTTTATTTATTTAGAGCATCTTTTAACAGGAAAAAAATTAATTTCCAAAACTGCTTAGAAAAAAAACTCAGTAAATCAAAGAAAGTGCAACCTCATGGCCTGTTTCATATAGTATTCAATTCAGAAGACTATCAGTAAAACATGGTTGGGATGGTTCACTTACATACTTGCTTGATTCTATCTACTTGCTCAAAGACATAGTCTCAGAGAAGTAGACAATTCAGTATATGAGAAAAGAAAATTACAAAGAAATTATGTCCCTGGTTTAAAAAAAAAAGACAACTGATAGCATTTATAAAATCCAGGGAAGTCTAGGGCAGGGCTTTTCAACCTTTTCACCCATTGTACCACTTTTAGGATATGGCAACATCCGAGTACCACCATTCACCTAGCAAGGTGTCAAAAACTTGATGACCCCCCCCCAAAAGGAAAAAAGTGATAAAGTACAGGTAGTCCTTGACTTACAACAGTTCGCTTAGTGACTGTTCAAAGTTTCAATGGCAATGAAAAAGTGCCCCCCAAGCCACAGCTGAGCAAGACACCTGCCTGCCTGCCCGGCCTCACTTTTCTTCCGGTCCGAGGTTTTCATTGTTGTGAGCATTTCTGTTAAGGATTGGCAGAGGGGGTGGGGTGGGAGGTGTTTGGTTTTTATCCCCCTCCCATCTGCTGGGTGGTTGCAGCAGGTTTTGGTCACTTCACATGACCCTGGGACACTGTGACCATCATAAATATGAATCAGTTGCCAAGCATCTGAATGTAAATCACAAGACCTGGAGATGCTGCAACATTCCAGCTGATCGGCGCTTCTTCTGGGCTCAGCAGGAGCACCAGGATCAGTGCTGCTTTCCAGCTGATCGGCGCTTCTTCTGGGCTCTGACAGCCCTGACAGCCCTGCAGCTCCAGCCATCTCAGGCTTGTGTGGAGCTGCCACTGGTTCAGCTCATTCCCCCCCTTCCCCGCTACCACTTTTCTAGGATGGTTGCGTACCACCTGCCAGGTGCCAATGTACCACAGGTGGTACCCGTACCACTGGTTGAAAAGCCCTGGTCTAGGGAAAGAAGATTGTTTCTCTGCTCCCTGCCAATTCTAAATAGATTAAAGAGGAAAATTTATAATGAAGTCTATAAACCCAAACTTACAGACATTACATGGTCCTTTCAGAAATCTGTTAACAATGAAAATAATTTTCTTTGAATGAAGGGTAGCTATCCAACTTGTATTTTCTAGAAATCCTTCATTATCTAAAGCACCAACTCCTTTATGTTTGTGCATCACTATTTATTCACATATCGCACCACAATCCTTTAATTAAGGATCACCCTAAGTGCAAAAACTTGTTATCTCCTTCCTTTCTTTTTGTACAAGTATAAAGAAAAACCAACAATTAAATACACTGCTCTGCTCATCAGTGAAGAGTGAGGAAGAGTGGAAAAGTATCTGGATTAATTTCCTGGACCGCATCCACCCCGTTTAAAAGTAGCAGCTATTTTCCAGGCAGCAATACACTGGGAAACCTGGATATCTTCTGGGAACATATCATCCAAGTCCTGAAGCTCACTGCTACCTTTTCCTTCAAGATAGGGAATAAATGCTTCTTTCAGGCTGGAAAAAAAAGAAAACCAATAAGCCCAAAACAATAAGATACTCTGCAAAACAGGATGTATTTCACTCTAAAAGGGATTGGGCTGCTCACACTCTTACCTCCACGTAGGACTGTACTCTTCTCCAGTTCTGGCATGTTTCAATTTCAACATGATCATTTCATGCAACTCTTGAAGGAAGGACTCCAGCGCTGTCTGGGTGAGGAAAGCTTTGAGAAGATCAATACTATCCACTGTGAGTTCCTCTTTATAGTTTGCGCTGATCTCTCTAAAAGGATCCTGGATAATACATTATGAGGAAGAAACGGAGAGAAACAGTTAAGCCGGGAGCGGAGAGAAAACCGACAAAAAGTGTCTAGTGAGCACATCCTTATCCACATCCTACCTTTTTCAAATACAGCAGCTGTTCTGATTTATGACTAGAAAGGAGCTGCCACAATGAAATGGCATGCTTTAGCTGACATCGGCCCAGTGCCTAAAAGAAATACGAACATACACAAACAAACATAAAGGGTTATTTTGCAAATGATAAAGCAAACGTATTTCTAAATGGCATTCATGGATGGCCATTTAGGCAATAAAGCCAAATATTAATATCAGCTTTTCTAGTAAATTCTAGAAATCTTTTAATGGGAAGAGCACTTGCCAACATTTTTCATGTAAATTCTGTGCAGACCAACACCAAAGTCAACTCTTGTATGAGACAACTGATGCCAAAGGACAACAAACATTCCGCACTGCCTTTCAACACCTTATAATTCAAGGGCATCTAGATTGTATATTGTGGATTACATCTCTGACACCATAATGTCTTGGCCCACTCTAGGGCTATCCTGGGAAGAAAGAGGTTTTCTAGGTGATTATAACAATGGAAAGGGGTTTTTCTAGCTGACTATAGCAATGTTCCAGTTGGTGAAGGCAGTAGTCTTCTAGACAAAGAAGTAGACTTTTTAAAAGCAGGACTAATTATAATATTACATTTAACTACAAGCAGCAAAATCAAATATAATTAAAAAATTAGAAGCCAGGGTGCACAAAATGTTTTGCCATGAAACATTTCAAATATTAATTTAGTGATGTTTCCTATCTTGAGAATTCAAACTATTCCAATTGTTAAACGGAATTCTTCTGAATAGTGTTTGAATCTGGAACAGAATTACAGAACATCCATATTTCAAGCATTTTCTCAATAATTAAAAATGATCTGTTCTGCACTCGAAAGCCCAGCTTTGAACTTAAGATTTAATTAAGTTTCACATTTAGAAGTAAGATGTTCTAAGCACTCGTTTTTTTATCTCTACTTTTTCCTCTGGATGATATATCTTTTGGATGTTATTCTTTATTTTATGTCCAGAGATGTTAAACTACTTATAGTTGTTATAATTGGTCAACCTGGAAAGTTGCTTAATAAATCCTAGAAAGTACTACTTAAAATGTGGTAATGGCCATTGGCTGCCAGTAGAAACAGTGGGATGTATTTGTTTTACTTATAAATGGCTTGTAAGTAAATAACCTGTTTGAAATGCACTTACTTGATCCATCAGGGATCTTTTTAAGCTCTCCAGTCGTACTATGCTTTTCCTTTCCATCACCTGAATACTACCAAAGCACAGTCCAATTAAAAGGATAATTCTGTACTATAATCTCAAGACCGATATTTACCACTCATGAACATATTTAGAAACTTTTTTCAGTGATCAGAACAGTACAGATCTGATCCAAGTGAGGAAAACATCAGCTACCTTTCTCAGTCTGAGCTACACATACAGTATATAGCCTCAGCCTCACTGGCTTTTCTCTTTCCTCTTGCAGAGATGAAAGATGAGCCTCTGATCCCCTGCACTCACCTTCATCACTGGAAGACTTATCTGATTGCTCATCCGCAGGACATTTTCAGTGTAATCAGTCAAAGTCATATGTGAATCACCTCCAGTTGTAGCCAAGAATCCTAAAATAATTTCAGTGACCGAAAGTGCATCACAGATGTCAGTGTACAAAACCAAGTCCCCTCTGATCATGCCCATTTTAGAACTTGAAAGAGAGCTCTGTAATAGAAGGAGATAAGATCAACTGGTATTTTATTCCTGAAACATTTTTCTATAAAAAAAGGCATTTATGCTATCTGACACCTCTTCAGGGCATGTAAGCAATGTAAAACTGCACACATATTCAAGCAAGCTGCTGCTTTCACCAATGCTCAACCTCCATACAAAGTTTTTTCTACTAAGTAATAAGTAAGACTCCCAAGATAAATAGGTAAAATTACTTCAACTGAACAGTAAATTTTCTGGAGACTTTAGCTAAGTTCCCTCTTTAGCCACCAGGGTGCACTGTCTGCATGGGTAAAGACTTCAGGGAAGTTCCTTCTCTGACCACCAGGGCGCACTGTCTGGGTAAGGACTTCAGCGAAGTTCCCTCTTTGGCCACCAGGGTGCACTGTCTGTGTGGGTAAAGACTTCAGAGAAGTTTCCTTTGACCACCAGGGTGCACTGCCTGTGTGGGTAGAGACTTCAGCAAAGTTCCCTCTTTGGCCACCAGAGTGCACTGTGACTAGTCTGGTCTGTGCTGTTAACACAAGCTTGAATCATTTGTTTCTTTCTCTGCTGGCATCTCAAGGAGAGGGGGTCTCTTTCACCCAGCAAGAGCCAGTTGTCATAGCAATTAATTGCCCTATTTACAACCGGGCTGATAAGCGATGCCTCCACGAGGGATATTCCTTTGTTAGCTTGTCTATTAAGCCAGTTCTGAATAATTTCTCAAGTCAAACTCAAACAGAATTCTTTCTTACTTTCATCAAGGAGACAACTTCTTTCGGTTGGGAAGGTAAATTATCTCTATTTACTTTGAGCTTAATTACTTCCTTTCTGTTGGAAAGGCATTCCTTCAACACACACACATCTCTTCACTCCCCACCAACACATTCCTGGCATTCTAATCCCACTGGTTTGCATGCAAAAGAAAGGGAGGGAAGAGGCTTGCTTCAGTTTAAAGTCTCTCTTTTCACCTTTGTGTAAAGGCACAGCTTTAAATGTTTTCCTGAGATCTATTTTTAGTCTTTCTTACTCTAGCCAAGCAGATGTATGGATGCATTATATGCAGGAGTTCTGGGAATGTTGCTAGCAAGCAGCCAGTTAAAGATACAGCTTTAGTTTTTTGCCAAGCATGGAAAGTAATATCTCTTTTTTTACTTTTGCCAAGCAGATGCATAGAGTTGAATTATTCCTTTTTTACTTTTCTGGAACCATGAACTGAGATGCATTATAGTTCTGATCCAGATAGCATAAACTCCACGAAATGGTTTTAAACAAATATTTATTGTCCAGGAATTCTAAGCAGAGACTTATTTTGCAGTAGATACATCCGGTCATTTGCATATCTGTCCATTCCCGTAGGTAAAAAAGTAATAATTCCCCATCTCAGCTAGGCATGGTAACCAATGCCAATTGATGCTTGATGCCAATTGATGCTTGATTAAAACAAAGGCTTTACAACCATAGTATATAGCCAGGACATCCTGTCATAAACCTTGAAGCCCCTCCCACTGACTAGATAAGATATAGGACTGACTAACAACTAAACTACATTCCCTAGAAGCCATCTCTTAAGGAGACAGTGTTTAACCCTTTAAATGCTAAATGCTCTAACACAGTTCTTAAGCTAATATATGCTCTGGCCAGAGTTATACTGGTCCAGCACAGTAAACACACACCTTCCTATAAGCAATGCATATTGAACATCCCATGGTTTACAATCAAGTAAATAAGCACAAAATGGAATGACAGTGAGATTTGCTTGTCTTTTTCTCTTTTCAAAAGCTCACCTGAGTTTTCAGC